AGCCGGGATTGCTTGCTCTGACCTTTTTTACCCGGACGCCGGAGAACATAGAGATAGAACAGAAGTAGCTCTATCGGTCCTCTTTGAATAAGGTTATTCAGACATTATTTACAAGGCAGTTTAAAAAACAAATCACGTTGTATACCCGTGATGGAACCTGAATGAATTAAACAGCAGTTCGGTTCCGAAATTTTTACAGATGTGGGAATTTGCCTTTGGCAATGCTTATGAATTGTATCAAACTTTTGATTCACCTTTTTCTCTTAGCCGCAATGCGGTTAGTTTTTGGCGTAGCATGATTGTGGCTTATTCATCAAACAATGGATAACTCCATAAGAGAGGTGATCAAATAATAGTACCGCACATTTTGACCGGGGAATTTGTGGCTTTTCATGTGTAAGCAGCTTCATAGGTACGTCAGTTTATTTAAAATGAAGTTACCCCATTTATAAGCAATAGGAATTTATCAAGAGTAGACACAGAAGTTGTCTTTTGGGATAATTAACATTCTTGGAACATTTATAAGGTTAATAAAACAACTCTTTAACATGAAATATGCAGGGTATTTTCTCTACAGTCAGTGATCATGCTCTGCTTCCAAGTAGAGCCTCAACTTCATGAGCCGTCTTTCTGATGAATTCAGGTTTAGCTTATCAAAGTCTATGATAAGCATTACAGGTTTAAACCGCTTGATTTTTGTATGTAAACCTCTTTGAAATTAAGATGATCAAAGGGCTGGTGACTAAAACATATGATGAACAGCTGCAGGATTTAGGTTTGGCTAGTCTAAAGAAAAGAAGAAATAGGGGTGACATACTAGCAGTATTCCAGTATTTGAGGGGCTGCCACAAAGAAGAGGGGGTCAAATTATTCTCCAAAGCAGCAGAGGGCAGGACAAGAAACGATGGTTGGAAACTAATCAAAGAGGGAAGCAACCTGGAATTAAGGAGAAACTTCCTAACAGTGAGGACAATTAACCAGTGAAACAGCTTGCCTTCAGAAATCATGGGCGCTCCATCACTGGAGGTCTTTAAGAAGAGGCCAGACAGTCACTTATCTGAAATGGTATAGGTTCTCCTGCTTGACCAGAGGGCTAGACTAGAAGACCTCCTAGGTCCCTTCCAGCTCTATTCTGATTCTGTTCTGATGCTGTCAGAACAAAATGTTTGGTTTCAAAAACTTTGAGTCCCTGACATTCTATCTGTAAGCAGTAAGAACACAATAATAATTTCTTGTTTGATAGCTAGGTGGCAATACAGACAAAAAAATTTTTTGCTGGGAATGTAGTTAAAAAGTTGAGTTGGGGAAAACTTGAAACTTTGTGTCTGGTTGTCAGTTGGCCTGATCCAAACCTTCAAATCTATTTTGCTTATGTTTTTTACCTACTTCTTTTTTTTTCCTATGGCAAATGTTGATCAAAAACCCTATTTGGATATACCCTGGTAGTCACAAAAAGTTTTCAGGTCTTTTATCTTTTAAGTGTGTGAGTAGTTATTATGGATTTGCTTTGTCCTTGTGCAAAATTTGGGCTTTATCCAACCATGTTAATATGCCCGTTAGTAGGAATAACACCATTTAGCTACATAAGACCTGGGATGTTAGTAAATAGGGGGAACAATAATTAATTATGCAGTACATTTAATCTGATTTACATTTATGAATAGGTATTCAGGAAAGGAATAAAAGAAAGACAGATTTTTCAGAAATATAAAGTTAATATTAAATATTTGTCATGATTATTAATGTTAATATTTAGTATTACATTATGTGTATGTATTATTTTCTATAATAAAATATCTATCTAATAAAAGATAACATAAATCCACCGTTCCTAATAGTTGTGGGTAAAATTTATAAATTTATAATTTTTATAATTTATAATTTTTTTTCATGAGACTTACAGAAGAAATTTTCAACAAGAGGCTATATTTGTTATCTATTTGACAATGCTGTTACAATTCCAAGTGGCTGGGGAATTCCAAGGGTTGTAGTCCATACATCTTAAAGTTGCTGAGGTTGAGAAACGCTGGCCTGAAGCTTGGGGCCTCAATATGAGCCACAATTCTGAAAACAGAATTTTTCTGCTGACGCATACAGTATGTACGGGAATGAAAAAGGAATTTTGCCTGTAGGTCTTGGTTGTTTTTTTTATAACTTCTCAGACAGTTTCTAATTATAGGCTGATGACACAGGCATGACTTGGCAAATATAGAAGCCAAATTCTGGTGGAGAGAAAAGCATTGTCAAATAGATAACAAATTTAGCTTCTTGTTGAAAATTGCTTCTGTACATCTCACGGAAAAATAAATTAGCACTGTGTCTATTATGTAGATATTTCTTACAATAAATTATTTTAAAACACCTGTGTTTTTTACATGATGAAGCAGTAATGTTTACGTTGTATATCTTTGCTTCAGCCTTGGCTATACCAGATTTTAATTCTACAAATGTTGCAGGCCCAATTCTGCTTCATCCTGTTCCTTGCTGCTGTGGTTAAATTTTTGGTATATCAGATACATGAAATTATGGGGGGAAATCCATATTTATTCAGCCAATAATAACTGGTGGGAAACCACATCATTGATACTTTTGGTCAGAGAATGCTCAATCTACAACAAAAATAGTATTTGGGTTTCAGCAAACTGGGATCTCAGGTTATCCATTTTGTCACAGAATACATTCAAAGTACGTATAATCAGGGCTTTTTTTCTTATAGAACGCCCAGAATGGAGTTCCGGCACCTTTTTTGGATGGAACCTTGTAGGGTAGGCAAGGCAGGTTGTATGACATGTGTGAGTTCCGGCACCTTTTTTTTTTTTTTTAGAAAAAAAGCACTGCGTATAATAATAAATAACATCTACCCCCAGCTTGGGACCTAAGTAATGTCTAATGGGTTATGCTTCACAAAGACTAATAAAAATGTGTTTGATCAAAGACAGTGAGCTTAATTAGGAAGGTTTTAAACGGAATGCTCTGAGAATGAAAGAAGAAGGTAAGAACATTCAATAAAGCCTTGATTCTTCTAGGGATCTGAGAATCATGGTGTTATGGGGTCTATTAAACTCAACAAAATATCAGGAAAAAAGACTCATGGTTCATGATCCTTACTGTC